TCTCTCTCTCTCTCTCTCTCTCTCTCTCTCTCTCTCTCTCTCTCTCTCTCTCTCTCTCTCTCTCTCTGTGGCATACTGCGTAGCCACACAGGCCCTGCAGGGCCCGTCCCGGACATTCAGCCTAAAAGCCTGAAACTTAGGGCTTACAGGCCCCGTTCGTTTCAGCCTGAAAGCTGAAAAACGAGGGCCTGCAGGCCCTACTCTGTTTCAGCCTATTTCTGGGTCTTTCAGACCCAGAGTTTTTCCAGCCTGAAACGGAGGGCCATTTTCAGGCCCTCATTGTTTCAACCGCCCCTAAGACTCAGGCACGTAAACAGGGATGCGGAACAGGCCAGAAATAGCCTGTTCCTCACGAACTTGAGCAGGAGCTGCAGCGGCAGCCCCTGCCTCCGATCGGCATTGGCAAGAGCAGCCCCCTGGACTGCTCGCCTGCAGTCAGGAGGCACCCGGGTAGTTCATAGGGCATCCCAGGCACTTCACGGGCAGGTAGTTTCCAGTAGGCACGCGTAGTCTTCAGGATTCGGCCGCAGCACTCAGGAGGAGCGCTGCAGTAGTCTTCAGCACTAGGTAGTAGTTAGCGCTAGTGGTAGTCTTCGGCGCTGGGCGCCATAGCCATAGAGGTAGTCTTCAGCGCTGGGCGCTATGATAGGTGGTAGATAGTAGAGTTTGGAGAGACACTGGCGGAGGCCAGTGGTACTTACCTGTGGCACCATCGCTCCAGCTCCATCTGCGAGGTACCTGCATCAAGGCACCAACTTCACAGGTTAGTACTGGACACAGAGAGAGAGAGAGTTCTTCTTCTTCCTCTTCTAAGTCCACCATCTCTTATCACCCTCTCACCACCTGACTTCTCAGACTACGACAGAGAGAGACAGAGTTGTGACTTGAGACTTGACGACATTGGATCCAGGCTTGACATTCGGGATTCAGACATTTCGACGAGGGACTATTTGGGCCTGTGCCGAAGACTTGGTGTTGACGACATTCCCATCTTCCCCCTCCTCTTCGTCTATCCCCTTCCTCTTCGTCTGTGTATGGTATGGGCTGGCGCAGTCTTCCTGTGTGAAGCGCCAGACCCCATTCACACCATGTAACGATGATGATGATGTATGTTCAGGGCTGCATTAARACATTGATTGTTCGGATCACTGGTATCTATGTCTTCCGCTGTGCTATCTTATGCTTTGTATTGAGAGGTCGGTTCTTGTTCTGGTCTGCACATTACAGTATGCAACAGTTTGGTATCGGAGCGGACCTCTCATTCAGAGGACCCGCTCAATCAAGTAGCCAGCTTGCTGATCTAGTGATCACTCGTTAGTAACGCAAGTAGGACTTAGTCAAATCTCTGAAAAAAAAAAATTATCGCAACAACTATCTCAAATTTCTGATATTCGCATTTCGTTTTACCTGAAAATTTCTGATATTAGTAGTTCGTTGTTACGTAACAAATATCTGAAAATTTCTGATAAATCGCAGTTCGTTTTGTCTGAAAATTCCCGATAGTAGCATTTCGTTTCTCTGATATTTCGCATACATAGCTGAAATTTCTGAAGTTAGTATTTTCGTTCTCTAGGCAT